CTATATATGAAAGAGCAGAGGAAGATTATCTTTATCTCTGGCAATCTTTTAAAATTCAGCCAACATTTGGTAAATAAGGACCATAGAGGAATTTCTGGTAAATATAGTTATTCTAATTATCCACAGAATAACAGAACTGGAAGAGACCTTGGAACTCTTCTAATCTAGCTCCTCTGCTCAAGCAGGAAACCCTATACCAGTGGTGGCTAACGTTTTTGGGCTCCTGTGCCAAAATTGTGCACGCACTTGCACGCTCATGCTCGTGTACCAGCACCCAGAAGGTAATGCGTGTTCCCCCACGACCCCTATACATGCACGCACAATTCCCACTTGCCCACCCACTGCCCCCTTACCTGCACTGCGCCTCACAGCTGATTTTTGGTTTGAGGCCTTTTTCGGCCTCTCAAAGACTTGAGGAAGGCTTCTGCAGGCTTTTCAGGCTGAAAACTAGCCCCATTTCGTCACTTCCAGTATTTTTGGAAAAACGGGAAGTGCAAAATGGGGCTGGTTTACGGCCTGCAAAGCCTGCAGAAGTGTTTGGGAGATCGAAAAAGGCCTCAAACCTGCTGAAAATCAGCTGTAAGGTGCACAAATGTGCCGTGAGGTAAGTTTGCCTGCAGCTCGCATGCAGGCACAAATGGCTCTGCGTGCCACCTTTGGCATGCGTGCCATAGGTTCACCATCACGGCCCTATACCATTTCAGACAAATGGTTGTCCAATATCTCCTTAAAAACCTCTAGTGACGGAGTGCCCACAGCTTATAGAGGCAACCCATTTCATAATTAATTGTTTTCACTGTCAGGAAATTTCTCCTTTGTTCTAGGTTGATAAGTTTCCAGACTTATTCCTCAGTGAAGGTTTTTCTATCTCTTCTACTATTTTCACAAGAAAAGTGGCTCATTAGTAACCACATCAGAAGTAATGAAGTGTTTCCTTTTATAAATAGCAATTAGACTATGTGGTAATATATAGGGGAGAATTATTAAAATGTGATATGGCACAATAAGGTTGCTTTCAGAAAACAAACTCTAAATATAAAATTTTTGGTGAGGATGTTTATCCTTTTTCATTTCTTAAATTTTCACAGAACAATTTTCAAGGTAATAAAAGTGTTTTAGCTATTGGACAGAAATATAATCAGTCAAAGATTACTTTGTGTTCTTAGGGAAAAGCTGACCTTAGATAGAATAGATACTTCTTTGTGTGCACATTTGGCAGAGGTGCACAACCTTAGCCTCTGAGGCTCCATGCAGCCCTTGGAATCTTTCCAAAAACTACCATCAAATTACCAATCTTAATATGAAAGAAGGGAAAGTAATTAAATATCTTGCTGCTTTAAAATTAGTTTAAGCTTAATTAAATCACAATTAGTTTTTAACCTAGCTAACCCATGCTAATTATTGTCTTTTTAGAATCTGCTCATCAACATGACACCAACAGACGAAGCTGTTCACTAATCCAAACAAAATTTCACAACATTGTATTAAAACATCTATGGGGCATTTTTAGGAAACAATGCAACAAGGCTTCTGGGATTGCTTTCCTTGACATTAATCCCGCTGAATATAATTCAGCCAATAAATTACACCACGCCTCTGTTTGAGAAGGCTTCCAGAACAGTTTCCAAAGTAACACAAGCAAACATAAGAAAATAAAATGTAGGTCCGGAAAGTTCATTGACATTACTTGAGAAATGAATAGATTGAAAACAAATATTCAGGTTATAGTTAATGCAAAGATGTTCCTTATCGCCTGGATTTGGCTTGCATAAATTAATTTGCTCTTTGTGTGAATTCCTTTATAGGAATTCCAGTTCTCTCCAATTAATACTTAATACTGGATGCCCATAATTCGTTTCCTCACTAATTCAATACTGATTAATATGACATTCTAACTCCCTATTTGCCACTGCTAACCCCCTGACACCACTTGGTGATCTTTTTTCTAGCATTTGTGCAGGTTGGTTGCAAGTTCATAGTTTTGCACTGTGTTAACTTCAGTTCCTATGGCAAAACTATCAGTAAATATGAAGACATCATTTGTATACAGTCCCACCTACATATCAGAAGAAGTGACTTCAGAGATTTGCAACCAAAAATATTATAAAGCAATTAGAATATTAAGGGTATATTTACATTCCCATGTATATGGTTCCTACAAACATGTTTAATCCTTAATTGCTTTCTTTCAGTATCATACAACTAATTTTTAAATAAGGCAGCAGAATTCTGCTTAGTTTACTTTCAAAGCCTTTGTCACACAGATAAAATTTAGATAGAGATATAAAAATCTATTGTAGTTGTGTATATAATATACTATATATATTAGAATGTTGAGAATTCAAATATATAGAATTATTAAATATCTTAGATAGTAGAATCATTAAATATCTTAGAACAATCATTCATAATCCTATTTCAGTCCAGACAGTAAAATAATGAGATCATTGCACCTTCTCTCATAGTGCCTGCTGAACAGATCATACTGAAATCTGGAAGTTAGCTGAGGAGCGGTGGGGAGGTGAGGTGAGGAGAAGAGAGGAAGAAATTTCTTATTTGATTTTTTTTAACTCAGGCTATGTCCAAAAGGAAATTTTCCAGAAAGGAAGAAGGCAAGAGATGATTGAAAGAGTCCTACTGTCTGATATTCTCCCCTCACCAATGGTAGTGGGAGATAATTCTCCCACTTCCTGGAGATGGGCTGACCAAGAAGGGAAGCAAAGCCAGAAAATCCAACCAATTCAGTTTTAGATAGACCATCTATGTATAATCCAGATAATCTCATTCCACCATGGCTCAGAACAAGAGCAACAGAGACAGGATAGGGATTGGAAATGGGGACAGCAAATGTCATGGCATTGTTGTTTTCTGTGAACTCAAGGACCTGTGGAGAGCAATTTAACTCACTGTAGCAAAATCCCTGTCATCAGCCATTATGACAGTAACACACAACCGTTTCCATTAGTTAATGTAGGGAAATGTTTGATTCCTAAGCCCGAGGCATCCCACTGCAATCAATGTCCTGTTCAAATGCTTACATATTTCTTCTTTGTTAACTATATATCTAGAAGAGATAAAAGCAGTGAACAACCTCTAGTTCTGATGAGAATTCATCATGTTAGTCCTGTGCATTGTTTAATACTGCCATCTCTGCTCTATTCCTCCCCTGCAGCCCAGAAATGACTGATCTCAAAAGATGAGGGATATTATTGTTTGAAAATAAAGGATTTTCCAAAATCTATGATCTGTTCTGATCTCCTACCATCTATTGAAGGTAGGAGAACAGAAAATAGTCTGCTATTCAATGTCCTCTTTTGACTGCTCTCCTGTATTCCTCAAGGGCAGCAACTGCAAGGTTAGGTTTCTTCTTCAAATAAAATGAGTGCAATTGTGGACTTTTCAAATGCACTTTTTAGACAGGGTGCTATTAAAACGTGTTGATCTAGCCTAAAAGTGGCAGCTCTGAGCAGGCCTTGAAAGTGTTATTTAACTTAATGTGTACTTTTGTCTTGAATGTGGTAGACAGGTCAAAGCTTTTTTGAGGAGCATCTGTTTCTCCCTCAGTCTGGCAGGTATTCGTGAATACAAGATTGAAGGTTCATGCTGGAAACTTGGAGCACTAGAAATACCCAAGGTGATTAAACTGCATAGTCACAGTTGCAAGCTGCCAGTTAAGGAAGGAATCAAAATCATAGGGTACCCACTTCCTAGAGGCTCTCAGGATATATCTAGTAGGGTTAGATGTTGATAGCTTTAGTTTGGCAAGGTTCTATTAGGTGTAAGCAAATAGAGGATTGGACTTGATTGGACTTTGCTTTGTCATCTCGGGGCTTGGGCCTGATAGAAAGGCCTATTGGTCTAGGAAGCCCACCCCTGGGATTATTGTAATGTTCCCTACATGGGATTGCCTTGAAGAGTATCTAAAAAGCTTTAGTCACTCAAAATGCAGCAGCCTGCATAGTTTTGCGCAAGCCTGAATTTGTGTATGTGTCATCTCTTCTGCGGGAGCTGCTTTGGGTACCAATTTGCTTTTGGATGCAATTCAAGGTGCTGGCTATCACCTTTAAAGTTCTGCATAGCTTGGAGCCAGCTTATTTGAAAGACTGCCTCTCCTCAGTACATCTATCCAGCCCACCAGAGCAGAGAGGAAGGGCATGTGGCAGGTCCCCATCTGTTAAAGAAATACATCTGTTAGGACCAAGAAAAAGGCACATCTTTGCCATGGGGGGCGGGGGGGAGAAGAGGGATTGGGGTTTTAAATTGTGATTATTTATTTCTGTATGCCCTCCAGAGACACTGTTGTGAATTGGGAAATCATATAAATATGTTTAATAAATAAATAAGAAAAACAATTGATAAAATTGGACAATAGTTTCTGCAGAAAAAGATAAACAGTCTACAATCATTCCAGAAGGAGATACTGGTTGTTTCCCACTTCTGTAATTTGTGTGAATATGTGTGCGTGTGTGTGTGTGTGTGTGTGTGTGGAGAGAGAGAGAGAGAGAGAGAGAGAGAGAGAGAGAGGGAGGGAGGGAGAGGGAGAGAGGGCAAGACTGGGAGGCATTATTTCATGATTATATGGTCCTCCTCCTTACAAATGAATTGGCTTCTTCCCTAATGTCAGATGAAATTCTTCCAAACAGCATTTGGTGGTGGTGATGATAATAATGATGATAATTTTACCATCTTTATTATTTTTACTGTTACAGTTGTCATAAGAATGGTTGTTAATATTCTGTCAATTGCTGTAAGTTTAATTCATCTAATGTACTGCATTATCAATAGATGCTTTAATTTTATTTGTATTGTGAAAGTTCTAATTATCAGTTTTAAATTCAAAGTATGGAAATTTAGTAAACAAATAAACAAAATAAAATAATGAAACAGCTACTTTCAGACATTTTTCTCCTCTCACACTGCAGCTTGCAGACGATCAGTCTGTGACACAACCAAGCAGCCTTTCAGAAACAGAGCCAGCAGAGAGCAGCATTTAATCTTACTTTCAGTTGTACCAAATGCACATCCACGTGTTTGCTGTCCAGGTCCTGCTGCACGGAGTAAGTCAAATCCCGGACTCTTTCTGATGTCATCCGAAGCCATGTCTCAATCTCAGGCAAGTGGAGAACAATCTTCCAGTCTGCAACTGTGTGGAGGGGGGGAGGCTTTTCATATTGTTGCTCAGGATCAAAATCTTCCCTACCATCTTGCTCAGTTGTAGGAGTCGTATTGATGATCATGGGGGATACATCGGTAGGAACAGCATTCGGTTCTTGTGGAAGGATGGGGGAAAGTGCTACTTCCATGGTTGATGTCAGAAGTTCTAGATCATGCTTTTTGCCAAAGCAGCTGCCCATGTGGAAGAGGAAAAAGGCAAATGGTTACAAAAAAAACCAGAACTTGGAATAAAACATCCAACGGTTCATAACAATTGAAATACTGCATGTTTTAGGCATATATTGAATGTTGCCTGATGGTTAACAGCACCGGAAGCAGGATGAATTTGTTTGCAACTAACCAAATTAAAATTCTGTCTAAGCATACCCAAATTCAAATCTAAACAATTGTCACATGTATGTGTCAGAAGTTTAATAGCAGAACAGACTTAGCGTGGTTTGGTTTTAATTTTTATGGTTATGATGATGGACAGCAGCCCCAAATGATGGTTTATTAATCATAATCAATTAATCAACAGCCTCCAGTTTCTAAAACTACGCTATTCAAGGTTTACTTATATACTTGAAACTATATCTTCAGAAGAGGTAGAAATTAGCAGGGGAAAAAGAGTTAATGAAAGTTAAGCTCATTTAACTATTCTTAATCAATAATTAATAACAATTATTGCTTGCATGGACACTGAAAATTTAAATAATCTAAGGAATTAAAGAACCAAAATGCAGTATTAAAATGTTTGTACAGGTAGTCCTCGATTTACGACCACAAATTGAGCTCAAAATTTCTGTTGCTAAGCAAGACATTTGTTAAGTGAATTTTGCCCTATTTTACAACATTTCTTTCCACAGTTGTAAAGTGAATCACTGCAGCTGTTAAGTTAGTAATATGGTTTTGAAGTGTCACTAAATAACAGTCACTAAATGAACTGTTGTAAGTTGAGGACTACCTGTGGTTTATTTTCCAAAGCCAAAAATTAGCCTGCAGCTTAGCAAAGCATGTAAGAAGAGTTCTGATGGATCAAACATGAAGCTTTCACAAGAGAAGCCTCTTGCTTTCTCACAACTGTAAGCCAAATGTACAACTGTTGCATCAAATTAGTGCAATTCAAGGTGCTGGTTGTCACTTTTAAAGCATCTTTAAAGCACCTTTAAAATATCTACCCAACCCATCAGAGCGGAGAGGCAGGAAATGCTGTGGTCCTAACCCTGAGGGAGATATACCCAGTGGGACACAGAAGAAGGGCCTTCTCCATGGTGGCTCCCTCTCTCTGGAACATCACCCCCCCCCCCCCCCCGAGATTAGAATGGCTCCTCTCTAATACTCTTCCAGAAGGCACTGAAGACCTAGTTTTGTCAGCGGGCCTGGGGAACCCAGAGCAGGATGGACCCTGCTTTTCATGTGGTCTGCTGTCCTCGGGGCGGGGCGGGGCGGCGGGGCGGGGGTGGGAGTGATTTATTTATTTATTTATTTCCAGATTTTGTTCTATTGTACTTTATTAATTTATTTGATTCTTTTTGTTAGTTTTTATTGTTTTTTATTTTAAATATGGTTTTTCATTCTGTAAGCTACCTCGAGTCGCCATGGGCGAATAGGTGGCAATATAAATTCAATAAATAAAATAAAATAAATAAAATATCCCAGGTTAATCAGTAGCACCTCCAATAAGAAAGGTCAGCTGATAAATTATTAAAAAGATCTTTCTTTGCCTGAGATCCTGGACAGACATTATTGATAAGAGGCATCAATGCTGAACCAAATGTAATTGATATAAGTAGTTTCACACCAATAGCTTTTTTTAAAAAAAGAATTTTATTTCTCATATTAGGGAATTTTAATCTCTGCCTAATTAGCAAAAGTGGAATATACTGATAATTATTCAACTGGAGAAAAAAAAATCATGTTTGCTTTCGCTACCAATATTTTACACTGCAAATAATTGACAGACACAAAATGTGTATATACAATTACAATGACAAATAATTTCTTATAACTATTTTATTGTATAATCAGTTTTGATACTTGGGTTTGAGAAGATACTCCCATTATTATTTGTTCTGCTTCCCAAATGCCAGGAGTTGATAAAATAGGCAATAATTAAATAAAGAAGCACAAAAGCAGGGAGGACAGAAAGAAAACTAAGTTAAAGCACACGTGCACCTTGTAAGTAATCTGCCCTGAACTCACTTACGCAGATCTGGGAAAAATTTATTCTTATAATGAAAGAAAAATGGGGGTGAACATTGCTCCCCACAATCTCACATGTGCCTGCAACTCCCCAATATCACTGCTTACTTATCAGGCAAAGTAAATATTTTCCTAACAACATATTTTTAAAAATGTTCACTGAGATACAGTCCTAGCTGCTGTATACAATATTAAATACAAAGCAAGTAACTGTTCAACAGGTGTATTCAGACATGTGATGTGGAGAAATTATTATGATTATTTTGCATAAGAAATTACTATAATGGCTATGATTATTATTATTATGCCTAATTTATTATGAAGCTGCTTAGCAGAATCAAAACCCCTTTGACAGTCACCTAGCTACAAAAGGAAAAACGGAGGCCGCTGTACCCTTCTAGATTTATGGTTATTCTTCAACCTAAGCTAGGAAAACCTCCTTATTTTTCTCTCTTTGTGTCCACAAGAATTCTGCTTGTCAAAGCAAGACAACTAACATGATCTCTTCATCAACCAATTAAAGACATGCTAGAGAGACAGCTGACTTGTGAACTATTTTTGGAAAGAATCAAGGTCTTGCAGAGAGCAAGTCAGATAAATAATTAAAACATCACCAAAGACTTTCTAAAAGGGGGGAGTTTTTTCCAACAAAGCTAACAAATGTTCACTGAGATACAGTCCTAGCTGCTGTATACAATATTAAATACAAAGCAAGTAACTGTTCAACAGGTGTATTCAGTCCTTTCTGCAATCTACCTAATGCATTATTATCTCTAGCCGCTAAATGGATTGAACGATCCAAACTGCTTGGCTAAAAAGCTTCTTGCTGTAAATTAGAAGTTTGTTGATTGGATTCAGCATTTGCTAAAAGGCAATCTTAAAATGTATCTATATATCATATATTTGAACTATTGTTGAACTCTGGACATTTTCATAATAACACTAATGAGCACGAGTACTAAAATCACACTGAATAGGGCAAATTATCACCCCATTACAGTAAGAAAAGTGAAATGAAAACTTTATAAGGTGGTGGTGTGGGTTTTCTGTGTCACCTAAAGGCCTTTACAGATGAAGCATATTGATATTTATATAGAGCAGCTTTGAAAGCCACACAGAAAGACAAACATAAAAGAAAAAAAATACTGATTCTTATAAATTGGTGGGATTTCTCCATCTTATTTCATAATTCAGTGATACCTCAGTTCCCATCATTAATTGGTTCCAGGAGACGTGGTGAGGTCCAAAAATGATGAGTACCAAACAAAATTTTCCCATAAGAAATTATGTGCTGAGTCACAAGGCAGCCAATACCAACAAGTTCCACCTTGTGCATTGAGTACCAAACCAATGATGAGTACTGGGACAAAATGTTCATGACAAATGCATTGAGCACCAAATCTGATGAGTTTCAAAGCAATTGAGTACCAAGGTACAACTGTATGCATAAAATAAAATAAAAACATTTTATAGGTATATTCCATGCCTTCAATAGAACTGAATTATCTACCAATTGAGATCAATAGACAAATCAATTGAGCTAGATCAATTCCCAAGGAGGACCTATTAAGACAGCCCACAGAAACAGAATAACAGCTACAGCACACAACTCAAAGCTCTCAAGAGCCTCGGTAACGCAGTGGTTAGAGTGCAGTACTGCAAACTACTTCTGCTGACAGCCAACTGCCTGCAATTTGGCAGATTGAATCCCACCAGGCTCAAGGTTGACTCAGCCTTTCATCTTTCTGAAGTGGGTAAAATGAGGACCCAGATTGTTTCGGGCAATAGGCTGACTCTGTAAACTGCTTAAACAGAGCTGTAAAGCACTTCTTCTTCTTCTTTTTCTTCAGCGTTTGTCTCGCGCTCTGGCGAGGTCCGCTAATGTCCTTGAGTACTGCTTCCATGCCTCTCTATCTGCCACGTATGTCGGGTCTGCCTTCGCGATCTCTAGATCGGCCTTGATCGTGTCCATCCAGCGTTGCTTAGGTCTACCACGCGGTCTCGCTCCTCCGACAATCACCTTCATCGCAGATTTGATGATGGATTCTTCCTTGGCGCGACTCACATGGCCGAACCATCGTAGCCGGGACTGCCTCATGACCGTGGGGATGGGCACGACGTTGAACCGTCTGCGCACTTCTTCATTCCTGATGCGATCGAGTAGGGTGAGGCCTACCGACCATCGGAGCATTCGCATCTCCATTGTCTGGAGTCTGCTTTCGACTTCTTTGGTCGTCGGCCAGCACTCTGCACCGTATATGGCCACGGGGCGCACCACAGAGTTATAGATTTTTGCCTTCAGGCGCATCGGCATCTTCTTGTCACAGAGGACGCCCGTGACAGACTTCCATTTGCCCCACGCTGCGTTGATCCTGGCTGCCACCTCAGTTTGTAGTAGGCCTTCTTCCCCAAGAGTAGTTCCCAGGTACTTGAAGGTGGAGGCGCGCGGTAGCTCCTGCCCGTTCACGTGGATGGAGCCTGTCGTTTCGTTGTCAGTGGTCAGGTATTCGGACTTCTTTAGGTTCAACCGGAGCCCGAACTGCTCGAGGCGGTCGTGCCACTGTTGGACTAGGTGCTCGAGTTCAGCCTTGCGCAGGTTGGCCAGGAACACATCATCGGCGTAGAGCAGCGTCCATGGGGCGGGCGTGTGCAGGTCGTGTGTAATTGTGTCCATCACCAGAATGAACAGCAGTGGTGAGAGAGCAGAGCCCTGGTGTACGCCGACGGTGATATTGAACTCCTCTGATATCCCAGCTGCCGCTTTTACACGGCTTTTGTGACATCTGTATAGGAGTTGGACCCATTGTACGAGTAGCTCGGGCACGCCGTGATCTCGCAGTGCGTACCAGATGAGATCGTGCGGGACTCGGTCGAAGGCCTTTTCCAAGTCCAAGAAGGCGGTGTGGAGCGGGATTTTCTTCTCTCTGTGAGCCTCCATCAGCATCCG